AAAACATACAGTCACATAACAATTCGTATTCAGGAAAACCGATCTAGCAGATCACATAACACAACATACTCTAACAGGATACCGACCTAACCGGTCACTAGCATAGCATCATCCTATCTACCAGGATACCGACCTTAACCAGGTCTCTAACGAATATCATCCTAACTACTCGGATGCAAACATATCAAAGCAATAACATAACAACAGATACCCGGATCTCAATCCGATAAAGGGCCGGCCTTGGTGCCTTAGACCCTGTTGATATAGTGAGGATAACTCACCTCGCGACTGATGACTGAAAGGATAAAATCACGCTGCTGCAGCCTCCAACCCGAACTCCAACACTGTCAATACCCAAAAGATTGAATCCAATAAATACCAATAATTACCAAATTACCCCTGGAAATCAACTGGTCAACCCTTGGTCAAAGTCTACCCCTAACTGAATCTACTCGCCGAGTCAACCCAATGACTCGCTGAGTCCTCATACACAGAACCTCCTTCAATTCGCGACCCAACTCACCGAGTCACCCCGAGACTCGCCGAGTCCAACAACTCTGAGCCTACTCGCACATAACTCACCGAGTCACAGCACTTCCAAAAAAAAACTTGGACCCTACGACCAGACTCGCCGAGTCTACAACTATCTTCAACCTACTCACCGAGTTGTTCTTCCAACTCGTCGAGTTCCAGACTTTCTTCAAGCAACTCGTTGAGTCCACCCATATGACTCGCCGAGTACCACCGGGTCTAAATCCATACAGAAGCTTTCCAAGCCGTGCAGATGATCCAAACGATAGATCTACTTCTCCTAAGGCCATCCATCACGTAAAGTGGCAATCTTTACGTGAATCCAAGAAGCTTTAGGCATTTTTACTCTAGGGTTTGGGGTTTGGGACAAGATATCTCCATCAACTACACAAGAGCAGGGACTTTAATGCTCTTAAGACCTTCTCCACTCCAGATCTGAGGTAGCAACCTCAGATCTATCCTTCAAACTCAAGATGCCAAAAATCTAAGCTTCCCATACAACCCCAAAATGAAGAATCTAGAAGAACACAGCCCAAGAACGAGATATTACCTCAAAATGAAGCTTCCAACAGCAAGAAATCCGAATCTAAACAAAGCCCTTTGATCCAAGCCTCTTCTCCTTCAAGATTTCTTCAACAAACACTTCCCCAAGCTCCAAATGCACTCCAATCTTCCACAATCACGCTTTCTAGGGTTTCTAGACTTCAAGGGAGATCAAAGAGGCTGGGGAGAGGATATAATGCTCTATAAATAGGGCTCATCCCCCGGATTTAGGGTTTTCTCCACTCAGCACCTACTCGCCGAGTCCATCTTTGGACTCGCCGAGTAGGCCATTTGACACGCGACCAAAGTTGCGACCCTACTCGTCGAGTCCATCCATGGACTCGCCGAGTTGCCCTTCAAATTTACACTTTTAGCCCTTCAACTCTACTCTTGATATATTCCGGGATGTTACAATTCTCCCCCACTTAAATTAGGCTTCGTCCTCGAAGCCTGCGATAACTCGACTCTAGAAATTCCCTCGCATTACAACTCCTGGCATTAACCCAACCAGGCTTCTCAAGGTACAACCATGGAAACCATAAACTCACTTTCTCCTTGCTCGCGGTGTCCTGACCACCGTCACAAGCCGGCCACCGGATTTACCCTCTGATAACCACACATAACAACTGAGTACCGCTCATGATGCAACACTGCTCCAAATCACAACCATTACTCGACCCAAATGGGCTATAAATAACTATGCATCACCTGATTCCCAATCCGAGTCCAACTCTATCCATTCCATGCTAACAGAAGACACACTCTTAAGAGCAACTCCCATGAGTTCTCCTCTTGCAATCGCATGCACATGCTGAACTAGCTCTAGCACCCTCGGGTTAGGAAACCCATCACACTGACGACCCTCAAAACGTCCCTCGGGATGAACCACTGCTACACAATTCCTTCACCAAAATGTGGCCAAGGATGACCACGACGTGACGAGTCAACTTTGATCGTTGATTTTGACTTTGACTTTCGTTGACTTTTGGTCAAGCCCCTAGTCTTGGTAAAAAAGCTAAGGGTGTACTTTATCTTGCTGTATAGGCGGTTGGTAGCATCTGTGTTCGAAAAAGTAGTAGCGGTTGCAGTTGATCATTGTTTGATAGGTGAGTCCCTTCACTATACTCGTGGGTCGAAATTACCAAGACTTGCCCGTTGAATTATGTGTGTAGGATGATAGTTATCTTTGTGACATTCATTGATATGGTTGTATGTTCTTGTTGTCTTTTTAACTCTTGCATATGTATGTTTTATATATCATTGTGGGCGGGGCCCGTTTATATGTATGTGGTATGTGGTATTTTTAGGGAAATCACTAAGCTTTGTGCTTACAGTTTTATATTTATGGATTCAAGTACTTCCGGTTCGAAAAGGAAGGGCCCGGTTTGATCGCACCGCATCCACCATTATTCCGCATTTCATGACATGATTTGTGCTCCGATAACTAATTTACATTATCACGTTTTGATGAGTTTTGGAATGAGTTAATAATGTTTCTTTTAGTTTAAAAATGACATTTTTACTTACAAATTTTTGGGATGTTACGGTGTTGTTACTCCAGAAACACAAGACCTTCGTAGAAGCAAAAGAGGTCGAATTGAAAAAGATTTTTGTTCCGACTTCCAACTGTATTTGGTGGAAGGTTCAAGGGATGAAGTTAGTCTTGAATACTCATATTGCTATAGTACTGAGGATGATCCTAATGCATATCAAGAGGTCATGGACTCTCGAGATATCTTCTTTTAAAAGGAAGCAATTGATGATGTAATGTCATCAATTCTTAAGAACAACACTTGGGTGTTGTCTGATTTGACTCCAAGTTCTAAACCATTTGGTTGCAAACGGGTATTAAAAAATAAAATGAATGTAAATGGAACTATTAGTTCAAATCTCGGTTGTTCATGCAAGGTTTTAGGCAAAAACCCGGTGTTGACTATTTTGATAATTATGCTCCAGTTGCGTGTATTTCTACTATTAGATTGTTGATTGCTTTGAAAAGTACCCACAATCTGATTATCCATCAAAAAGATGTTAAGACATCACTTTTAAATGATGAACTTGATGTAGAAGTTTACATAAAACAACCAGAAGGTTTTTTTATGCCCGGTAAAGAGCATATGTTTTGTAAACTGGTAAAATCTTTGTATGGGTTTAAACAAGCACCCAAACAATGGCATCAAAAGTTTGATAAGGTTATTGTGTCTTTTGGTTTCAAGTTAAACCAATGTTACAAATGTGTTTATAGTAGATTTAATGATGCTACTAGTGCAAGCATGATCTTTTGCTTATATGTAGATGACATGTTGATTTTTGGTATTGACCAAAATCAAATAGATGAAACAAAGCAATTGTTGTCATCTAAATTCTCCATGAAATATTTGGGAGAGGTTGATGTAATTTTTGGTATAAGAATTAAGAGGGTAAACAAGGGATTTGTAATGACTCAAAGTCATTATGTTGAGAAAATTCTCAAACGGTTCAATTTTAGTGATTGTTCTTCTATAAGCACTCATATGGATGCAAGTATAAAATTAATGCCGAAAACTGACATTTCTATTTCATAATTGGAATACTATAAGGCTATTAGTAGCTTGATGTATGCAATGTCAAGGGAACCATAGATTATGGATTGAGTTACTTGGGAAGTCCTTCGGTCTGAAGGTCATTTGGATGCAAGTTCGACAACCAACATGGAGGACCATTCCTCAACAACTGGTTGGGTGTTCTTGCTTGGGGGAAGTGTCATTTACTGGGCTACCAAGAAGCAATCTTGCATTACAAAGTCGACAATAGAATCTGAGTTTATTGCATTAGTTGTTGGTTGTAAAGAAGCAAAATGACTAAGGAATTTGGTCTGTGAGATTCCTTTATGGTCAAAACCAATAGCACATATATCTATCATTTAATGTGGCCGCTTTAGCTAAGCCAAGTTTATAATGGCAAGTCTAGACACTTAGGTGTTAGACACAATATGATTAGAGAACTAATCATGAATAGTATGATTTCAGTTGAGTTTGTGAAATCGCAACAAAATTTGGCCGATCACTTGTCTAAAGATCTGACAAGAGACTTGTGTATAAGTTTGTTATTGGGATGGAATTAAAGTCCATTTAATGATGTAATGATGAGATACTCAATTTCCTTCTAATATGACATTAGGAGTTGAATTCAATGTGGAAAGTTATCACTTATTTAGATTTAAACACATAAGGTATGCATCCCAAGTATGTGTTCGGTTCAGCAAGTTGACCATGTTGAAGTTTAACTTCTTAATAATTTCTTTGGTAAAATATATGTGTAGCTACATGAAGTAAAGGAATTACCTACGTGATTATAAAGTGTAGCCGCATTTCAAAAAGTTGAGGACTTGGCCTCGATACAATCATGAGAGGATTAGGACACGTCTGTATAATAGTGTCAAGTTGTATTTCGCTAAAAAGTTCAATAAACTAGTATGTATTTTACTTTCAGGTATTCAATTGGGGTTGAAGGGTTCAATTCTTAGAACACCCTGACTCTTGAATATTTGAATTATTTGATACTAAAATAGGAATCCAGTCGTTTTGACATTTTCATTTATGTAATGGGTTGGTTTGTTAAGATAATTTTATGTTTGTTCACGTGTTACACTGAAATGAGGGAGGATTATTGGTGATTTTAGTGTCACCTAGCATTTTGTGTAATGGGAACTCATATGTAAGCTAAGGGGCTTATCATTTGTACTATATACTATTTGTTGGGGAATGCAGACTACATGCATATATAAGATCAAATTATAAACCGATAAAACAAAAAAGTGGAGGTCAAAGGGGTGGACCCCCTTGCAGGGTCCAAGGGACAACCACCCCTAGCAAGGTCTAACTTGCTAAGGGGGCAGAGCCCCTTGCGGTGGTAAGATTGACAAATCTTGATTATGTCATTAATTTCGAGATTTGGATAACTACTTTAGAAGATTTAACACTAATATGTCATGTATATATACGGCTACTCTTTTGAGTCGATACAGAACATTTTCTTCAACTCTTCTTCATCTTAACAAACTCATAACTCTCTAGTCATTTAGCTTGTGTTTCTATGCTTTAATACACAATTGTCCTTTTGGATTATCCTAGACTGGATTTCCTATAAACCCAGACATATGGTGAAAATATCAGTTCGTAAAGTGAACATATGCGACTCATAAGGAATCCAGTTTCCACCATCACCATACATATATCCTCCAACACACCTTATATATAGAGAGACCTACAAGAGTCAATCATGCATACGCCCCTAGTTTAACCTTTAATAGTTGCATTAGTTGGCATGTTGTCCAAAGAAGTTCCACCTAGATCACCGTTGATAAGAGATGTATCAATTTCTTGCTTGAATCTTCTATCTCAAAAAAAACTCAGCAGAAACATAGATAAATGGCCAACCACACAAAAAAGTGAGACCACATAGATAATATGTAGATGTTTTGATAGTGGTCCTTACCATCTAATTCTGGCAACCCACAATGAGCAATAGAATAGGTATGTCTATATTTAATTATGTATCTATCTACAAACAAAAAAGGTGATAATATTTTCTTTTTCAATTGTTCATTGATGGGGATAGGAAAAAGCCAAAACAGCGTAGGCCTCCTATGAAGTGTAGCAAATTGCATGCATACTCCACAAGAACATGTCCATATTTTCAATTCAATTGCCTTAATCGAAACCCATAAACTCGTGAGAAAGGATGTTTTTAGCAATTAGCACACAACAAAAATCAAGTGAACTACCTACACTATGGACCCTCATGAATGTTTACAAAAGAGTTCATGCACTCTTTGAAAGATGTTTTGAGAAATTGAGAATGTTACGCCTTTCCTTTACGTGTTTATGGCTTTACAGTTAATGCTTCAGTGGATGGAATGGGAGAGGAGAGAAAAGTTATTCGGCAACTTACTGTTAGAAAGCAAATGAGGAGTAGCTACCTACCTTTAGGGTAGCAGTTCGCTATCTAACAAGCGGCCCTCCTTGTAGGGCTCATCGAGAGTGGACTACTTTCTCTCTTGCTTGAATGACAGCTTAATAAAAACGCCTGATTTTATCGGTCATACCAGTTATGATTTTTTATATCAAGATAGCATCTATTTATCAAATATCTATCACTTACTGCCATTACCAAATCAAGACAAGACAGTGGACTGGAATTGGAAACCAGTTGGAAGAAAGCCCAAACTATCACAACTGTTACGTGGCTAATGAATGCCTAAAAAATCAGTTGATAAAAATGGCCTTGCTCAGCATTTTCATCAAAATATCAAATTTACTTCGTCCCTAACAGATTTGAGATTTGAGATAAGAGATTTTCAATATGTCATTGTCAACTGCACATGAAGTGAAGTGATTGTCAAAGAAGAAAATATATCCACAGACCCCACCCATTCCTATCCCATTCAATGCTCACGGGGTAGTAAAAGCCAAAACAAGTAGCAGTAGCAGTAGTAGTAGTAAGCACAGAGATAACAAAACGTGATTGTGATTCACTAGCTATTCCATTGACTGGATCAGGCCAAATACTTGAACAGATTAGGGTTCTCCTTGTCTCTCTCCAAGTACTCCCGTGTGATCAAATCTTCAATCCTCTTCTTTATCGCCTTGAAATCAGGCTGCACAGATACAATCAAATCATTGCTCACTGCTTATTGCTCTCTCCAGAAATGTTTGCTTATTAATAAATATGGAAATGGAATAGACCTAACCTTGAACATGCGGCCTAGCTGCTCTACACACTCCATCACCAGCTGTTGATGACCAAGAACCTTACGCGACTTCATGATGCGAACAATGGAAGCATCTATCGCATATCGCCTGTCCTTATCAACATCCTCCACAACTTTCTTCCTCTCGTCCACAGGTGGCAAAGGAATCTGATTCACACACATCAGTCATCCACAAAAATAATTATACTATATACACATAACTAAAATGAAATGAAATCATTCGCACCCTGATCCTCCTCATCCTATCAGTGAACTTTGAATTAAAGTGGAAGGAATCGGTTTCAGCAACAGTTCTCGAGGCTGGCTCCTTGATGAGAATCTTGTACTTGGCACACGACAGTGATTGGAGTAATCTCACCACATCCTCATCAGCAAGATTTAGCTGTGTCTTGATATCCGAGTAACTTAGTCTATCTGAAGCATTGAACAGCAGCAGTGCTGCTGCCTGGAAACAAACAAACTATCAGCCACAAACACAAGCAATAAAAAATAACAAAACAACCTCCACTAAACCGTTACCTGGTATGTTCCCAAAATCAGCTCTATGGTTTTCTGATCAAATTTACCATTCACATTGCATGTCCCCAGAGAGTAAATCCAGGTCAGCTTTCTGTGTTTGGTTTTCGTCTGATAGAACTCCTTAAACACTTCAACACATTTCACCTGAAACCCAAACCCAAAAAAACAATATATCAGATCAGAGGTATCTAGAAGTATAACATGTTGATGAAACCCATGTTTGATTAATTTTTTTTTTTTTTTACCATTTCTGCAGGTAGGCTAAGATCAGAGGATTTGTAGCTTGGCCAGAAACCCGTAGTCAAAACAGTGACTGTCAGATCAATTCCAGGATTGGCAAAAGCATTACCGGAAAGGTAGTCGTTAAACTGACTGTGATTCTCCTTTGCCAATGCCAAATCCGTCACCATGCCCTCCATCTTTGATGTAAACTGTCCACCACATTGCTGTTTTAGCTTTGACAGTATCAACCTTTCGTGATCATCATTCGCACTCTTATCAAAAAGCAAACGCCGAGATAGTTTCTTTCTGCAAAAAATTTATGAATTTTTTTTCCTAAACAAGTGACAACACCACAAATGAATCTTAATCTTACTATATATATGTAGTATAACCTACCTATAAAACTCCGCGAAAAGATCTTTATCGCTGATGTAAGCAAGGAGCTTAACCACCTGTAAAATCAAAGTCCATGTCATCACAATCGCATGCCACAAACAATGTCAAATAAAAGCAAAGCAGTTAAGGCTACCTTATCCAAGGTTTCTTCAATTGCTTCATCACTCAACTTCTCACTACCCCCCTTTTTCAGGATATTGTCACAGTATGAAGCCAGAAGCTCCGCACTCGAGCAACCAGCCACAATTTTATTACAGAAAACTTCAAATGCCTCTTTTAGGGCCTAAACAAAAACCATAAACAGGGTAAATTGTTTGCTAAATCAATTAATACTGAAATAGACAAAATGATCAAAAAAGATGATAGTACTGACCTTGTGAAATAGCGTATGATTCATGAAGCAATCTGTAACATATGCCATGAACTTGTCATGCAACTCAATTATTTTCCTAACAAACACCTGAAAAATCGAAAATGTTATATATTTCTTTTTGTGGGTAATCAACAACCTCTGCATATTTTTTACACTCAATTACCTGCTCTTGTGGACCCCCAACATTCTCCGCCTGTGTAAAAAAAAACCATTTGCAAGAATTAGTCAAGCAAACATGTAATACAACAACATATTTCATTTATCTGTTTATTATAGCATTCTACTTCCAATTCTTTCCATTACAGCATTGTACTTTGAAAAATCTAGAAGATTAAATAGCATGATTGGGGTAGATTTTTCAAAGTACAATGTCTTAATAAGAAAAAGATTAAAAGTTGGGTTGAATCTTACCTTGTTACTTGCAGCCTCTTCAGCTTGTTGGACTAGAGTCATTCCTTCAGCAGTAACATGCTATCACCCCCAAAGTAACAATAACCAAATCAAATCATATCATCAGCATCAAAAGCTGAAATCTGGAAAAGGGGAAAATAATACCTGCTTGAACATATTAGCAACGGGATCTAATCCTTTGGGAATTTTAGAGAAGAGCCTATACATCCTTGACAGATCGTCCACCTGTTTGTTAATGAACATGATAATAAATTTAGATAAGGATCATGATACAGATGCTCCTTAAATATGAAAATCCTTAAATACCTTATCATCTCGAAGCAATGTACGACATCCAGAATGCTCTTTTTCAAGTAATTGACTGCTATATACCACCAACAATTCGTTTTGCACTCTCTGTAAGGGTAAAAAGAATATATATATATATATATATATATATATATATATATATATATACAAATATCAAGTCATTAAATTAGAACAATGAAATGCCATAAACTAACTAACTCCACATAAGAATCTCAGAAAACCAAACCTCTAACAGCTTTGATTCACTGCTTGAATGCAGATAGTGAGCTACTCTTTCTTTTTCTCTTCTTAAACAATCCTCAGCCTGTGTTCAATACAAGAATTCGATCAAAAAAAATGAAATACCTACATAATACTGTAACACCAAGGGGCTATTTCTTTTTAACTAAATGAGCTTAATGGGTTAGGGACTTGATCTGGACAGAATGGCTTAATGGGTTAAGCCAGCCATAAGACTTGGTTTAATGTATTTAGATAATACATAGATACTAATCCCTTACCTAATTGCCTTCTTTTTACTCACAACTCCACTCACTCCAGAACTGATTAATATTGTAAAAAATAATGAATTTTGTTTTTTGGAATGTAACACTAAAAAGGTCCTTTAGTCTCATTCGGATGGATTATTCAGTCTAGAAAAGAAACAGACCTTATGTACGCAAAACTTTATCCAAATAGACATCATCACCTATTCAACCACTTTACTGATACAGTTCTTAATGCGAAAAAGGAATAGCCTAACAGTGACAGGAACAGTAACACAAACAGCAGTAATTTTTAACAAGAGGAAAAGCTTAACAGAAGATACCTTCAACATGTAATCAGGACATGAATCTTCCACAATCCAGTTTGATGCTTTCCGGGAATAATAACCAGCAGAATCAACAAGCATGTCAGCTTCAAAGTCTTTTTCATAGAAATCCATCTGTCCCATTCCAATCTCAACATATATACCAAGGACATTTTTCAATAATGCTCTATCAATCTGCTCTCCTTCACGTTCTTGATCAATCTGGATCACAAGCAATGTTAACTTCAACTCTACATCACCAACAGAAATTGGTGCATGAGCAAATAAAACAACTTACAAGTGCAATAACAGCATCTTTAGCTTTACCCTTAGCCTCTTCATAAACCTGTACACCAAAAAAAAATCCCATTACTTAGCAATTAAGAAACCAAAACCTGTTATTAACTATCTGTTAAAAAGAATACTAACCGATTCACGAAAACAAGTCAGACCAACTTCATTGAGTGCAGGTAGGGACCTTCGAGCAATGAAATAACGATCAAGATAATGAAAAAACCGTGAAAGCCACCTAACCATTACTTTATGATTTGCCCATCGCTTTACAAGCTCCCGCAACATGAACTCATCGTGTTTCTCTCTTAATGATGTCAATACCTTAAAAGAAAGATGTCAAATGTAGCTGTAAGAATCAATAGCAAAGGTATGTATGCCATGTATAGAATAGCATGGAGAAATCAATCTTAAGGAAGACATTCCATCTGACTTTCCATTATCTGTCACCTGCTATATGTGTGCATGATGTCTACTAATGTTTTATTTCTTTAATTGATTAATTCAAAACCACATGCTTTGTTACATACCAATAGCAATTTGTGTTGAAAGCAAAACAAAAAGAGAAGGGGGTTACCGTAGAGCCAATATAATCTTCAAAAGCTTCCTTATATTTATCATACAGCTGCTGGGAATAGTCATGAGGAGGCTTTTGAGTACACATGTTATAGATGGTGCTGTACAATAGTGACAATTTAGATTAAGTCAAAATCTTAGAAAAATTAGTAGCATAATGTAGTAAATCCATCCCAGGGGATGAGACTTTTACAGAGGTGGAAAAAGAAAAAGATAAATCTGGAGATAAGAATACGTGTAGAGCATCATGTATTCTTCTGAGCTAAACTGTGGTTCTGGAAGCCCTTCCAAAATTTTCTTCAGCTTCTGTATGCCAGTCTGCATGAAACTCCATCCTTCCTCCAACTCAATGGTCTTCATCTGGGACATCGTCATAATCACACCAGTCCTTCAGCAAGGTAGCAGCTGAAAGAGGACACCTGTTCCACCAGAAAGCAATAACACAATCTCATAATAGATCACATGAAATTTCAATAGTGACAGTTATAACAAAAATAAAAGACTATCCATGATCCATCCATCCAAACCTTTGTGGGATTACAGATTCCTTTGCAATGTGCTATGACAGCCTAATTATTCACCTTCCTTGATGATTTATCTTAGTGAGAGGTGGTTTCTCTTTCTAAAGAGCATAACAATGCATTTACCACCTTAACTGGTGGAATAAATTGATTGAGAAGCACATCAACAAGAAGATATGTTTCAAACAGATAATGAGCTGGAAAGTGGGTTTAAGATCAAACAGTTCTGCTAAATGGAAGTTTGTAGGCCATATTAGAGTGAATAAACTATAATAAACCCCAAGTCCATACACTTGGGTAAATAATTCAAGAAATTTCTGAAACAAAATATAGTTTCATAAAGTCTTTTTTGCCTAAAACATTGTAAAAAGAAAAAATACAAACAGTTATACTGAGACACTGCTAGGGCACTACCTCACATATACTGTTGTTTTGCGATAAAACAACAAACAAGATAATAGAGAGGAAACGGTGTTGATAGTCTTTTAAACGTTTATGAACAAATATATCAGAAGCTATGTAGGTGTGTGCCCCAACCATTCATACATATATAGCATCCTCAACATCCTTAATGTTTGTACAGATATAAAACCCAAACCCCAAGCCCACAAACAATTATTCAAGTCAAACCCTAGTTTACTTCGGGACATATTTTCTGCAATAATATTATATCTACGACAGACAAGCAGAGCAATCAACCTCCACAAATCAGAGCAAATAAAACAAAATCTCCAACAACGAAATAAAAACGCGTTTCCGATGAGGACTGTGAAATCGAATTACGACGATGCATAATGATTGCTCGGAATCATGAAGTAAGTTTACAGAGTAATGATCTCGATAAGTACCTGAGATTTTACGATACGACGGAGGGGAAAAATCTGAGATCAAAAATCTTAGTGCATCGTAAAAAGGTTTTCGTCGATTCGTCGATAGAGAAGCAAAGAGGAATCAATTTCGTAGGCGGAGTCCACCCTGCTTTGTTGTTTAATTTTTCTGGTACAAAATTGTCATTATATAACTCTAGATATTTAGCCGCCTGACGGTGGGATTTTTTTTTTTTTTTTTTAATTTTATTTCCTAATAAGCGGTATTAGAGCGTCGCATACGGAAAGAAGTTTAAAAGTTCAATTATCCAACATCGAGATTTTAGGTTAGCATTTATCTCAATTATTTGTTTGGCTGATTTTTTTTCCATGTATATTCGAGATTTGTGATTCTTATTTAAATTTTGATTTATATATTCAAATAGCTTAAAAACACATATCATAAATATATCTCATCAAATAAATTTAATATAAAAAAAAAAATCATATTCGATTAAATCGACCCAAGAATATGAACATACATATAGAAGAGAGATATCTTTGATGGAAATAAGAATAAAACTAAGACACAATAAACTTAAAAACCTTTATAATAATTTAGTTAAAAAAAAATTATCATTGATTTGTTTTATTAATAAGGAGAAGGTTAATTGTTTTAGTTATCATCATACAACGAATGAGAAGGCAAACGAGCAACAAGTTGCGCCGCAAAGCCCTTTTGTATGGTAAAACCAATTTTTTAAAAAACTACATTCATAGATCTAGGGGATATTAACATGGTTATGCATAATCCGTTGTAGTCTACTAAGAAGCTCAACTGCATCCGGCGCAAGGAAACCAGAAGTATCAAATGTAAATGGTATGAACACGTGCTGATTTTTCATGCAACGTTTCTCATGTTTGGTGACCTTGCAAGTAGCAGCTTTTAATCCAGTTTGTCCCGCTGTAAAACCCCCGGCCCTCAAACTTACGAAAGGGGATACCCCTGTAAGGTCCATACATGTGTGTTTCCCTCCAACCCATCCAAAAATCAAAACATCAACCGGTCTAAGGGTTGACTTGCCTTCTGTCGGGTCAGTTAGGAAATTCACAGGAGCCTCTTTCTTGGCGGAAACTCCGGCACGCTTACATATGTCGACCAAAACATCCCTAACCATATTGTGTCTGGATTTGAACCCTGGGAGTTCTTTGCAATGAACTGCATGCTCGCCGAAATAGTCCAAACATGCCTTGCGGCACACCGATATATCCCATCGGCTGGGAATATTGGAATCATGAGTCGATATCTGAAGATGGTATGATACTCCGCTTGAGACATATGTTGGCCAAGCTCATCTATAGGGACAACTAGAAGAAAATATTTAGCATGTGGTGCACGTAAACACTGGAAAATTGTTTTCTGTCGAGCCGTCGTATTGAAATTCATTTCCATATCTTGGATAATTTTACTAAAAATGGCACTCGCCAGTGTATTCTGGGATAGGGGGGCGGTGTCCTTAGTAGTAAAACTGCTAAAGTCAATGTCCGAAAGCTTGTTACGAAGAGAATCTAAGGCACAAGCATAATCAGAATCCATACCATAATTGTCGCTATCCCATAAGATGTGGTATTGCAATACCCAAGATTGGGCCCTTGAGGCAACAAAAGAATATGAGGTAGCCTCTACTGCCGATTATAGACCCAAACCACCAAACTGAATGGGTAGGGAAGCAAGTCGCCACTGTAAGTCGCCAAAGAAGGGGCCACCAAAAATCACAATGTCCTCAATCGCCCCGTGTAATCCATTATTGAAGAACGTCGCCTCCTCCATGTGAAAGGGTTAGCACGTCCTCATCCCAAATAAAAGTTTAGCAATACTCATACAATACCGAAGTAGAAGGAGCTCACTCTGTGGGGTCGGACAATTGTGGAAGAATACGCGTCAAATTCACAACGCTTTCAACTCTCTTTATGACTAAGTTGCTAATGAAACTAGCATCTCTGCTAACAGCTCCCCCGAGAAGTTTCACCCCCAATGGAGGCCTCCCGATGCCAACCGGGAATAGCCCCTCACGCAGCTTCCTTCCACACGATGGTCAAAAGAGCTCGGTTTTCTTGATATTTAACTAAAGGCCCAATTGTGGGCCAACAACCTTAATGATGTCTAAGGCTTTTGCCATCTCCTCAGAATCTCCAATAAGTGTGCCATCATCCAGGCACCATGCATGGAGAATAAACTTGCAATTATCTCTAATATCATGCAAGAGTGGGTGCAACACAAGGGCAAAAAGAAGTGGTCTCAATGGGTCTCCTTGTTGAACTTCAATAGAAGACCAAATATGTACGTCCCGGATATAACATTGATGTTTGACCATATAGGAATCTGCCAAGAATGAAATATAATTATAATGTTCCAAATAAATATTATAATGTAAATGGCATTCCGTTGTAGTGACCCCCGGATGGTGGGTATACCCACATTCCCGTATCCGGCCCCTCGTCTTTGTATCGCGAAGGATGCACGTTCCCAAAACAAACCGTTCTCTTCCAAACCCTAACCCTAATCCTCGACACTTCTCATCGATCAACATCAATCTCGCACCATAACCCAAATTATTCTCGTAATCATGTTGATCTAGCTCGGTGAATTAATAAGAGATGGCGATATCGAACGCGAATCATCAGCTCGCTCTGGTAGTACCGTCGAACACGACAACGTCGTATGAGGGGCTGTTGGAATCTCAGAAAGAACTATTGAGCAAACAGATCTGTGAGCTGCAAAACATCGTTTCAAGGCAATGCAAACTTACCGGCGTCAACCCTCTCTCTCAAGAAATGGTGCGTGGGAACTCGAATTTTTGTTCGTCTTATAACAATAATTCATGTGATAGGGCTTCAATTGTTTTAATTAGGGGTTGCATCTGTACATACACCGCACATGGCTCAAAAGCAGTAAATTAGGCGTCACTTGTTAAAAGAATACTTTATCGAGATATGAATTATAAGTATTTTCTATTTTTGGAGTTCCTAATTTATATTTTCAGATGTCAGCTGGTAAGTACTGTTAGTGTTAGACTTTACAGGGGAGAGAAAACGGGTAATTGAATTTAGGAATGAACTTGAGATGATGTTTCTGTAGCACAGAGGACAGGGTGGTGGTAATGTTTGACACTTAGTTCAATTGAGAACAAGGTTGCAGGTGAACCAAATTCACCAAATAGATGTATTTGTTTTATTGCATGGTTAGCCTCTTGTTTATACACGGAGGAGTGCTGTGCAATGGACTTTTGCTTTCAACTTTTCAAGTAGATCTGTTATGTTCATAAGGGTAGAGTCTGCACTATAGAGCTCTATAGAGATTGCAACTGCAATGCAATTTTTTAGTTAGCAAAGAAATACTAGCAACCAGTTGTAAACTTAAATTTACTTTTGTTGTATACATATCCCAAGCACCGAGTTATCTTTTGACAGTATATATTGTATGTGTGCTGATCATGTGTCTTGCGATATGATTGCAGGCAGCTGGTGCTCTTTCAATTAAAATTGGTAAGCTGCATAACCTTCCTAGATGCTATTGATTTTGATCCAACATTTTTTTTTGTACACTGTTGTCTTCTAAAATTTAAACCTATCTGGTCCTTCTATACTGTTTTAAAGTTATTAACTATTAAAAGGTTCATGTACAGGCTTATAGCAGACTAGTAGTATTAAGAGGTCTGCAGGAGCGTGCAATGACATTTAGTGTGCCTTTCTTTTTGTTCTATTTTTCAGGGAAAAGACCCAGGGATCTACTGAACCCAAAAGCAATAAAATACATGCAATCAATTTTCTCTGTCAAAGATGAAATCAGCAAGAAGGAAATCCGAGCAATTAGTGCTCTTTTTGGTTTAACAGCAACACAGGTTTCTGTTTAGTTTCCCAGTTATCTTTATTTTTTGTTTACCCATCCAAGCATATAAGTTCCCATTTAAAGTAGTTTGTATCATCCAAACCCATAATAATTAATTCAACTTATTCATAATTCTAAGGTGAGGGACTTCTTTACTAGTCAACGCTCGAGAGTTCGGAGATTTATCCGCATATCAAGAGAGAAGGCAAACCAATCTTCTGAATGTGTGCAAAATCAAGATGGGCCATTGAGCTCTAATGTGGACCCACTTAATCACCCTGTTCCATTGAACTCTGTGGGTCCATCCAGTGTTGAAGCACCTTCATGTTCCACCCAAGATGAAGTGTTACCTGATACAGATGACTCGGATAAGTATTTTACAGCCAATATTTTTAGTCTGATGCGGAAAGAAGAAACCTTTTCTGGACAAGTCAAATTGATGGAATGGATCTTGCAGATACAAAATCCTTCAGTGCTCTATTGGTATTCATATATTTATCATCCACTTCATTATCTGTTGAGTAGAAACTTCATGGTCTAATCATCCTTTCATGAAACTACAGGTTTCTAACAAATGGAGGTGTGATGATTTTAGCTTCGTGGCTGAGTGAAGCAGCAATCGAAGAACAAACCAGTGTTCTTCATGTCATTCTTAGGGTACATATATTGTCCAAGATCTTGTTTACAATGTAACATTTATTTCATCTACTGATGGAGCCATGTTTAGGTTCTTTGTCACCTGCCATTACATAAAGCTCTTCCAGCACACATGTCAGCCATATTGCAAAGTGTCAATAAACTTCGGTTTTACAGGGTATCAGGTGTGTTTTCTTTGGTTGGTGCTGTCAAATTTATATGTTTGTGAACAAAGTAAGACATTGTGTGTTTGCTCTTTTGTTATTTGAATCTCATTATCTGATTTGAAGACCAGATGTCTCAAACAGGGCAAAAAGTCTGTTGTCTAGATGGAGCAAAATGTTTGCAAGAAGCCAAGCCATGAGAAAACCCAATGCCAACATTTCCGCAGTTGATGCACAAAATGAGATATTGCTGAAGCAAAGGCAAGCACATCTTTCTATCTCTCCGTGTTTTTTTTAGGTGCCTAATTATTTTCCATGGTTTTTATATTCATTGTTGTTTTATGATCTTGTATAGCATTGGTGAAATTATGGAAAATGAATCTTTCCACTCAAGAATTGAGAACCCTGTGAGTTCAAGTCTTGAAACTGTTTATTCTTGCGAAAAAAAGCTTAGTTGCATCGTACAGTTGTTAACCTCTTAAAACATATTTTCTTAAATAGGCAGCGATATATTCATTGCTAGAGAACTCTGAAAACTCAAGGTATGAAGCATTTGTATACATTCAGACTCGAGGGCTTTTCAACAATAAATCTTGATTATCCCATTTCATACATACAGGTCACAGTCGATCAAATTGCTCGCATCACCATCCGATGACTCAAATATGAAGCTTCTTAAAGGCGTATCTTCATCTCGTATCCTTGTGGTTATATGCATTTTTCCATGGAGACCAACAGCATTAGAAAAAAAATTACCAATTTGACCCTAAGTAATTTAATTTTATGTGTGAAACTAAGTTATCGCCTTAACTATGTTTTAGATGGCAAAGAACGCAGGAAAGTACAGCTGGTGGAGCAGCCCGGCCAAAGAGCAGGTGGGCGGGGCCCACAGGTTACAAGGTTGTTTCCTTCAGCACAGGGACGTCCACTTTCGGCTGATGATATACAGAAAGCCAAAATACGGGCTCAGTTCATGCGTAGTAAGTACGGGGAAAGTTACGTGGGCTCTCACCCTCACGTGAAAACTGAAGTTCCTCGGGTGTTGATGTCTGCCACCTCATCATCTTCATCTTCATCATCTAAAGCTCCTGTGCATCCTAAAGTTGAGGAACATGCTACTTCCTCTTCTAGCATGGTGACTCCTTTAGCAGCTAAGCCTAAGACCCCTCATGTTCAGGTTCAGCCTAAAGTTGATGAGGAAAAGAAGGAGCTAGTAAAGAATGAAGTGCAGGAGGTGGAGGAACCTGCGTGGAAGAAGTGCAAGAGCTTACTCATATCATGGGTGAATCCACCAGGTATAAAACTCACTTTCAGATTTTTTTATTTATTTATATATATATATTTTTGGGAGCTGGCTGTGTGCAGGTTCAATTGCGAATTCGTTGTGCTTCTTTCTGTTCATGGTCGAAAGACACTTTAAAATAGAACCCAAAAAATGGACTAATTATAATGAATAAAGCAATCCTTAATTACAAAATTCGTTTTCTGGTTACCGATTTTTTATGGATATGGTACAATAGTTTCATTGAATGCTTTTTTCTGTTCCTCTAAATCTATAATGATATTTGGTCATGCTTTTAATCCTTGTGAAATCCATAAATATGACCATTTTACCTTCAAATTCGACCAAAACCCATAAAATTTAAAACTAAAACATAAATCTAAATCCAAACTAGCAAGGATGGTTCAGTTCTTTACAATACTATCTAATTAATATAAGTAAGATTAGTAGTTAGTTTATTGACAAGGGGAAGAACAGTTGAGGTTGATGCCCAAGGTGGAAGGAGTTGAAAGTGGGTTGTGCAGCAATTGGGTTGGGGGCAAAATCGTCTAACTAACCCAGGGACTGAAAGCCTGATCAAGCATATCATTACGGGACAGAAAAAGCAAGACCACACCAATAAAAAATAATAAAACAATGGACTTTTTTTTTTTTGGGTGCAAGTCAATAAATTAGTTTTAAGAGATTGCAGGAGTTGGATATTGTTTGGGTAATTTTTGACAAATTAAACCTGTTTGACTTTTTGCTATGTTTTTTAAACTTTGTCCATGTGACTGTAACCCGTTGGCGATAAAAATCACCACCAAACTAAGTCAAATTGTTTCTTAGCTAAAATGAACAAATTTTAAACAAATTATTCATGAATAAAGTACTTGCAAGTGCGTTTCTGTTACTGTAGCATATAACTTATATTCGAAGTTAACAAACTGGTATCTCATCATCCAGTTCCATGGAGGGTACAAAAGAGACTAGCACTTTATATATAATTCCATCAAACTGCCACAGGATTTTCATTTTATGCCCTATGAAACTTTACAAAATGAAGATATATCCAGGTTTAGCATGATCAAAAAATGTCCAGTGTATTCAAACAATCAGGGTAGGGTGTTTTTAGTTGTGTCGCTGGTATTTCATATGCTGTTTTAGCTCTTATTTATTTATTTATTTATTATTTCAACATAAAAAACATAATATTAGAAATGCCATCACAGTACAAGATTTGTACAACCAACCAATTGATAAGACATGCGATTTGTAATAATCAACTTGTACATAACAGTTGACCCAATTCAAATATTTGTTCTCCTAGTATGTACGAGGTTCTTATGTGAGATGCTCTATAGACTAGAGATATGGGGTGGTGCTTTCTGATGTCACTCTATTGGCTGTTGAATGTACAGTTTGGTTTTGTTTGTCACTTTTTGATCAAAATACTTTATTAAGATTATCAATTGATCTTCAACTAATATAATTAGACGACATTATATGCATAGTTTTCACTAAGGAATAGAATATTTATTACTTACAGAATTTAATCTAAACAATGAGCAAGATGTGAAATTCACATGTGTGTGTGTGTGTGTGTGCAATTCCCATAAAACGAGTGAGGAAGATAAAGACAAACCTGTCTTGAGTGAATTTGTCAAAAACGTTATTTGTGAAGGATAATAATTGAAAACAAGACCCTTGCAGTTGTATAATTTTTTGAAAAGTGATTTCAATTTGAAAGAAAAAAGACCTAGGAAAGACAGCAGGCGTCACCTGGAGTTTAGAATCCTAAGATCATTCCATTTTTACTTGCAAATTGCAACATGAATCTCTCACGTTTAGAATCCTAAGATCATCAAATATGGATGCAGTGTATACATTTACTTGGCATGTAAAAATTGGCTTAATTCACGTGGATTGGAAGTCACTAATTGTTTGTGTCCCAACACAATCATATCAGGGGCATATTTGTCCATGCATAACTGACTACCCTAGTAGACAGGGTGTTGGGATGGACAAGTGCTCTGTCTCGAGTCTGATAGTATTCATGAATTTGTTATTTCTTTCATTCTTTAACTGAGCTGCCTGTAATCATTGTTAGTTAGCCTAAAAAATTTTGAGCTGTCTTGTGTGGCGTGGCATGCTTTCATTTTCATGTAGAAACAATCCATTGGTTTATACGATTCAAGAAAAGAAAACAATGTTTGTGAACTCGGTTGTCCTTTGTTTTTTCTGATCTACGGAAAAAATTAAAATGGATAAAACAAACAAATTAAAAAAGAAAGAGCAGGCAATATAATAATTTTCATTCATCAAGTCTTGAAACCTAGAAGAGTTTTGGGAAAGTTGCTCACTATTTATTGTGTACGTATGCAGAAATGAAGATGAATAAGGAGTGGAGTGTGTGTTATGGAGAGAACAGCAAAGAAGTCGAGGTCCAAAACAAACGAATGAAACGTGAAAAAGAAGTTTTTTACAACACAAATCTTGAAATCCCAGCAAATCCCAAAGAACCATGGGACCGAGAAATGGACTACGATGATTCCCTAACACCCGAAATCCCAACTGAACAGCTTCCTGATGAAGACGATGAGAATATGAAAATGGTAACCCAGGAACCCACACAAACAGAAGCTGTTACAATATCTGAAAATAACAAGCTGAGCAGCATCGGTCCGGATCTTGAACTGTTGGCAGTGTTGCTTAAGAACCCACAGATTGTGTTTGCATTGACGGCTGGTCAAGGTGGGAGCTTGAGCAATGCACAAATGGTGAAGCTTCTTGATGCCATGAAAGCCAATGCGGCTTCTGGTGGCTCCATTGATAGCCTTGTTAGCGGCTTATTAGTTGATGAACCACACAAAACCAAAACAGAGGAGAAGAGGGTGGTTGAAGTATCTCTACCATCTCCAACTCCATCAACCAACCCTGTAACGGTGCGTCAATGTCAACTATATAATAAAAAAACATTATCATGTTTTGTACAAATCCATAATGGTTTATATAATTATCGACCCATTTTCTCCTCCCTCTCTCTCTCTTTTTTTAAATCTTCCGGAAGACCTTACAATCGAGAACGAATATGCTTGATAACGCCTGTGAATTTGTTTGAAAAATAATGGGTTGAAATTAATTGCACAATAATTGATTTGGTAACAAAGAAAGATCGATGCGTAAGGTTCCTCCATTTTGGTTGTGGGATAGTAATAAACCGGGATAATATTTCATTAAAACAAAAATATAATATAAGTTCAAACGGTTTAGTTTATGGTTTGCTGATTGGTTGGTTTTGTTTTGGTTTATCAGAGTGGAATTGGATGGCGGGCGGGGGCGGAAAGTGGTAAAAATCAGTTTAGTTCCCGACAAAGTGTGACGGTTAATGGTGACGCTTACCCCATTCCACGTGTCCATTTTCAAGAAACCAGTTTGCTGACTCACCAACAATTACATGCAAATGCTCCGATTACGCATCATCAAAGATTCACCGATGTGGTCCCTGACCAGAGAAACATTCCGGCACCAAGTAATTTGACCCAACAGGCAACTTCTTCTCAGAGAAACATTCATGGAGTGAACACGTCTTCTAATGCTTACTTTTTACCCGGTGTGGGTGGGTCGCATGCATGGGCGGGGCAGGAGAGTCCATATGCTCCGGCTGATCATAGTAGTACAAACTACAATGCATATGGTACAAGAGAGGCGGGTCCGGGTCCGGGTCCGGGTCCTTCGTGGGGGAGAAACAGCAACAGTGGAGGATATCATCCTCGTGGGTTTGATTCATGGAGCCCCGAGGAGAGTCCGGTTAGGTCTCGTGAATATGATGAGAGGGAGAGGGAGAGGGAGAGGGAGGATCATAGCCGGAGGAGCTATGGTTATAATTACAGTAATAATAGGCCAGAAATGTTGAGAATGCAAAATGAGCATTCTAGGTCTAGAGACCGGGGTGGTGCTGGTGGTGGCCGGAATGAAGCTTCAAGGTGGCGGGTTAGGAGGAGATAGATCATCTCCGATTATTGTTGGGTTGATGGACGTTTTCAGTTTTGATTCTAAAAAGAAAAGAAAACAAACAAACAAAATTGACAACTAAAATCTTGTAGCTTCTTTTTTCTTAATTCTATTACGTCACACCCAAAACAAATGAAATACAAGTTAGTCTCAAGTGTTTTGGATGAACAACCGCAAAAAACTTCAAAACAAAACCAAAATTAATATTTTTTATTTTATTTTATTTTATTTTTAAAACAATTGCTGTAACCAGCTACGAGTGCTTTACAGTTTACATTTCACCATTTTCACCACAAAACAAAACATTGAATAATATCAAAACCAAACACCTCAATCGGAAATAACGAGCTTTTCTGAATATATATATATATATATATATATATATATATATATATATATATATATATATATATATATATATATATATATATATTAGCCGTTACCCGCGCACAGCGGCGGGGACAAATAGCTTCTTTCAACGATATTTTTTTAAAGAAAAATGTTATGTTCCAAAAGAAAGTTCATGTCGTGGGTGAGAGGAAGGGCGGTAGTCGTGATAGTGGTTGATTGAAGGCGAAAGGAGGCAGAGCGGCTGTGGTGGTGGTGGTTATACTGTCTTGGTTACTGGTTAGGGTTCTTCGAGAGAGTGTGCGTATATTTCTTACTTTGAAGGGATTACGAAGATAGATATTATGAGATTGTTTGTTATCAATGTGAGAGAAGAGATCCTCTATAAATTGTTGACATTGACCGCTTCAAATGATTGAAGTGTTGAGATTGACGGGTTCAATTTGCAAATGAATTCTTCTATTAATTTGATACGAGATTTTTAAGGGATAAAGGATATGGTTAAATTTTTAATATTATTATATTATAAATGGGTTGTACTTCAAGCTTTAATAGTTTGGACGTTTTAAAAAAATAATATTATTATATTCAATCTATTTATAGAAATAATTAGATTTCTTTTATAAGTAGTATATATATATATATATATATATATATATATATATATATATATATATATATATATATATATATATTTTAAATCGACAAATGAATCACATCTAAACCTAAACTACTCCATAATTTTACTATGGCCATGATGGGTTCATATTACCACGGGACTCGAACCTTCGAATTCAAACACCTGATACCTTAGGCTTGAATCGTTTAGCTACAGTTCCTAACGCACTTTAGCTACAATGTTATCTTTCTTTTTGGTCCATGTAGTTCTCAAATAGTTATAAATGGTACCTGTTTGAGAAAAAACTACAGAAATAATCCATATTATTTACTTTTTTAGAATTTGGACCTATGATAGGCCATCCAGCTTTTAGATATTTCCATTTGGGCATTTTTTTTATTTGTTCTTTGAGTTTGGTCTAAACTTTTTTTATAAAAAAAAATGGCAACTTTATTTTTATATGTTTTTAAAACTAGGCTTGTTTTGAAAAAACTTCTTTTACAGCTATGTTTTTACAAGTTCATTTTTACAAAATTATTAAGTTTACATATTTGTTGTTACGTATATTCTTATTAAAAAATTTCCTTTATAAATTTTTTTTTTTAATTTGTTTTCAATTTTTATAAATATTCATTTTCATGTATGTAAGCTTCCAAAATATATAAAGACTACTTTCTTTTAGAGTTGTCATTATTTTTTAGAACTAATTTTTCAGAACTTAAAAATATCAAGTAGCCGATTTTATATTTTAAAAGGATAACAAACTTTCTTTTTTTTTTTTTTTTTAAATTTCGTTACTTGCTATCTCGGATATAATAGGTCACCCCACTTCTAAATTTTACATTTTTTGCTTAGATTTAAATTTTTATTGCAAATTTGGTCATAAATTAAATTTTTGTTAAGAATTCGTCCAAATTTAGTTTTCTACGTATATATTTTCCTACAAGTTTTTAAATATTTTTTACACAGATTTATAAGTTTTTTTTAAGTTAATAATAATATTTTTTCAACTTTTACATTGCTTCATACATTAACAAACCAAATTTTCTCGATGATTGTACGACCCTTGGATTTGATGAAATAATAAATATGGTTTAAAATCAAAGGAAATAATAAAACATTGATTAGTCGTTTAAAATCAAAGGAAATAATAAAACATTGATTAGTCGTTTAATCTATTTTTTTTTTTTCCAGATTTCATCAAATTCAATTCAAGTGTACACAATCAACTAAAAAATTGGTTTGCTAACCCATGAGGCAATGCAAAAGTTGGAAAACAAATTAAGAAATACGAATTTTCTTAACAAAATATTAAGGTTAGATCAAATTTAAAATCTGGACAAAAATATAAAATTTGAAAAAAAAAAAAAAAAAGTGAGCTATTTAACCTATACAAAAGTTAACCATAAGAAGAAATGAGTTGGTTACCATTTTAAAACATAAAAATATTTACTTGACAACTTTAAAATATTCTAAAAACTTAGTTAATAAAAAATATTGATAATTTTTAAATACTCATTTTCCACGAACCAATATATTTTTTTATTTATAATTTTACATAATTCTACTTAAATTATATGTTGTTATAGTCAAGGGGGTTTTCATATTACAATACTATAGCATTGTATGTGTTTGTCATTGTGTGTGACCATGTTTTTATATGTGATTGTATTTGTGTGTATGGATGTGGTATAAACAAAAACAAAAAGTACATTATTGTTGCTACTACTAAGTATGGATGTGTCAAAAACAAAAACAAAAAGTACTTTATTATTAAACAAAATGTACTATAAAAATGGGTCAAAATATCAATTATATACCCGTAAACACAAAAATTGAATTTAAGTAATATTAATCATGGTTGTCAAAATCACAATCCTAATTGTAAGATCATACGATCCTATGTATAAAAAACATGTCAAATCATAAACAAATCGTAAAATATGACTAAATTTTATTTCTTTTACTCTTGACAAATTACCGTTTATCATTATGTTCTAACATATGACTAAAATTTGAAGGTGTTATAACTTTTAAACGAAAAATTGAATGTTTGAAATATTTTTCGTATTTTAAAATTATAAATTAAAATTATGTTTTATTGTGGGGTTTTAGGTCGTATTTTCAAAACCCTATATATAACGTGGAGATTCGGTGGTAGTAGAACCTTTATATTATTATAGATTATGGTTTAATATCCACAAAAAATACATCTTGGACTATGTAGGATTTTAGGGTGGTTGAACTCAGTCGAAAATGTGATTTCTTTGAGCGAATCGACTTTGAACTTAAGATACAGTGGTACAAAGTGCTTCTCTTTCAGACCCTTTCGAAGGTGAGTGTAAGCAAAGTTCTAACTAAAATCAATATGGTTAGTTGGTTACATAACAAAAGATCATTACTATTAAAAGAAGGTATAAAAAATAACTAACTGAACTGAATCAATAAGATTGGAAAAAAGCATATAGAAAGGACAACAAATCTTAAAAAAAGGAGTAGGCCCCAACTTACAAAAAACTCCAAGAATACATTTAACTTTTATTAAAGAGTTGATAAGCTATGTAAACTTTCTTTAAAAAAAAATCAGTTTAAAAATCAAGCAAACATCTGTTAGTTTTAATAACGACAAAAAATTACATCAGTAATAATAAATAAATAATGCAAAATGCAGAGATTAAACAAAGTTATGTGGAAAAGTAACAAAACATTGATATACATAATAACAATGATAGCACAAGATTTCTTTTTACAAAAAGATGGGAAGCAAAAGCACCATTGAAATGCAAAATTTGGTGCAAAGTAGTTGAGATGAGAGGGAACTACTTTAGAAAACTAGCTTTACACTTTTTTGTTCTTCGTGTTCTAACTTCCGATTAGATGGATTGAAAACAGAACAACATTTCATATTTTCAACATCAATATTAAATATTTGATCAGATTGAAATTAGGTTTTCCTTGGTTTTCAATGTTCTGTTGGGCCTGGGCCTATTGAAAATTGGATTGGCTACTAGCTCTTTAGCAGATGGTCTCTTAACAGGATCCGGGTCCAACATCGCCTGAACCAGATTTTAAAAAAAAAAAAAAAAAAAACATTGAATCATTAATCAGAAACACCATAACAAAAATGTAATCAATAAGAATTACAATGAATGAGTAATAATACCTTGAGTGTGTTCTGAAATTGCACAGAATGTCCAGGAAGAAGAGGGAGTTTCCCTTCCCTAAGATTTTGAAAATAAGGTCCAGAATCTGGCAATGTTGAACCCCTTATGAGTTCATAAATAGTGGCTCCAAGTGAGAAGATATCAACTTTGTCTAAATGATCATAATTATCATTCAAGATTTCTTGTGGCATGTATCTTGCATCCCCTTCATCAATGGGTAAGCTTCCATCTAAAAGACTTGAGCAACCAAAATCACCAAGCTTGTAAACACCATTCTTCACATATATGTTTTCTGGCTTCACATCTAAATGCACTATCCCTTTCTCATGTATATATTGCAATGCTTTGGCAATCTGTAATATAATATATAATAAATCAGCATTTAGTGATAATATAAAGAAATAAATAAATATCATAGAAGATGATAAAACCTGGTGCATTGCTTCCAACACTTCACCCTCTTGACATAGTCTAGTGGAGTAGTTGATCATGGAAAGGCTGTGATCACAGAGTTCCATTTGGATGTAGAGTTTCTCATCTTCAAACCAGGAAGTATTATATCCAACAATGTTATCATGATATCCTGCAAGTTTATTACACAATTTCTATAAATCTAGAAAATGTTTTTCAATATTTTGCTCTAGGGAACTATGAAGAGAAAGCTCAAGTTACTCACCTAATGCAGCTAAAGCCTGAACTTCCATTAAAGCTTTTTGCCTGTAAATTTTGTCACTTATAAGTCATTTAGAATCAAAAGAATATACGTTCATATGTCTATACATATATATCCATGTTGAAATTTAACATGGGAATAGAGGAATACCTCTCATTGTCAAGATATAATTTCCTAGTGCTGCATTTCACAGCATACATGCAACCATCAATTCTCTTCAACACTTTGAATACACAGCTGAAGTTTCCAGTACCAATTTGCTGGAAAAATAAAAAATTTGTTCCAAAATCAATAGGCATCATGCTTTTTTTAAAAGAACATTGATAGAACTATATGTTTTATTTCAACAGTCATTATACCTCTATTTCATGAAAATCTGTTCGATAGCGTGAAAGGCCATCACCACCAAATGCAGCAGGGAGGAAAACTGTGGATTAAATGAATGGTTTAAGGTTAGAAGAGAGATGAACTAGACATTTAAAACCCTTACTTGTTCAATAAAAGCATACATATCATTCAAGAGTAAATAGTTAAGTTTACGAAACACTTATGAGT